CAGAGGTTGCTTTGTGACTGATGGATAGAACAAAATCCCGACAGGATGAAGCTGTCTTAACCTACTGTATATGTTTGTCTACGTGAGGACACACTACATACAAAATAATGGAGTAAGTTGCAAACGAAAAAACAACCTGTTTTCTAAATGTCTGTCTAAAGGAAAACAAATTAACTTTAAAGCAAGTATAAGACAAGTATTATATGGTCTCACCTTATAATCCAACTTTCACTACCAACCTTTCTGTACACGACTTGATAATGGTCCAGGATGGAATGAAACATCATCGCTTCCTTTGTCTTCTGATGTGTAAGTTGGGTTTCAAATTTTCAACCACATTGTGACTTACCGTATGCAGTATTATATAATGAAAAAATATTTTTTTTATATAAATCAATCCTACTAAACCTTTCAACAGTACACAAATATTAACATAATGATCTGCATTTGTATTGAGTTTTCATTCTATTGGAAAAGCAACATTTTATTGTTTGCATTTTATTAATTAAGGAATACCAGCAGTCATTTAAAGAAACTCTGCCCATTTATTTCTGTCTTTGCCAGGGATCGAACCTGGAACCTTAGGACTACGAATCCCAGGCGCTGCCCACTCAGTCATCAGGACCCCCTCAGAAGGTGCCCAAATGCCTTGCAGAACCAACGGAAATACTCATCGTCGATGGTCCATTCCATGGAAACGAGACAGAAGCGAGATAACCTGTCTGTGAGAACATTGGTCACATTCTGCATGTGAACTGAGCAGAGAACTAAAGCCCAAGAACATAGAAGCCAAAGCAACCCCATCCCTCCATTCAGGAAATGAACTACATAGGAACATTCAGAGTGGAGCCGGAGCCCAGAGGAAAACAAATCCTCCTCAGGGTATGCCACAGCCACAAACCCGCACACCACACAGTGCAACTGAAGGAACGGACCTGGCCAACTGACTTTGGGCACCCTGTTGAGTGCTGGTCACATAGCCCCAACCCAGAGCCGAGGAACCCATGAACACATCATGTGATGGGGAAGGATGGTGCCATGGAACTAAACTCTGAAAATCCCAGTCACTCTGGGCTATCCCAACACCTGCCGATGACGAAACTGCAGGCAGAGCAAAGCCACCAGAGGTGGGGACAGAAAAGCCAACTGAGAGTCCCCAAAACAAGGCCCAGCCAAGTCTAAACCTTGGATGGAATCAACTTTGACTTCTTAAGAGTTCACCAGGAACCTGAACTCAAGTGAGCTGGCAAAGAACCAGATCCCTGGCCAGCTAACAAACGGACTGACTGGGGGCCCATACTAGCCAGTCGTTGAGGTAGGCTAACACGCAAACCCCTAAGCTGTAGCTGGCCACAACAATCCACACTAATCTGGTAAACACACAGGCCACTTAATCCCAAAAGACTGAGGATGTGCCATAGGTCTGCCGAATCCTGCTTCGGGACTGGGAACAACCAGTACACCCACTGAACGAAAAAGGTCACCTCGACCATGCAAGAGTCCAACCAATTTGCAACGATCTGATGTAGTGTTGGGGAGGACTTCTGACTGGTAAAACCCAACCACAAGAACATGGGAGGGACTGACCAATTCCATCACCGGCTGAGGGAAACGACCTAAAAAGCCCATGAATTATGGAACACAGGAGCTGGCAAAACGAGCCACATCCCCACTATAGTAGCAGCATCAAAGGGCTAGCAGGAACCATGAGCAGAATCAGCCTTCTTGTGATGCATAGCTGTGATGTCAAGCGGGGGAACTCGCATCAGGAAGCACATCGGCACTAGAATTGGACCAATCTGAGGACCTACCTCAACCAACAGCAGGTGAGGTTCCACCCTGTCAGACTGCTTCTGAGCTGGGGTAAGAGCCCCAAGAAAACAAGAAATGATCAGTAGGATGGCAAGTGAGAGCCACTGCAGACAAAACCTGTGCAACAACATCGGGAAAGAGGAGAGGTGAAAAAGAGACCAAGCCAGCTCTAATGAACAAGCCAATACTGCTTGTCAACACATGAGACAGGCTGAATAAAATGCTGCCAATGCCTCCCAAAGGAGATGCAGAGACTCAAACATGCAAGCCTGCCACCAAGTGCAAATGCACCCTATGGTCCTCTGCAATAGAGGTCCTGGTCAGTGCAGGCAGCTGTGCATGGAACTGACACAAGCCCACACTGATTCGAGGAACCCATGAACACAGGGTAGGATGGTGCCATGGCACCAAACCCTGAAAACCCCAATGTCTGGCACCCTTGGAGTGCCAGAGCAGACAGGCAGTTCCCAAGAGAAGCTACAGAAGCTCCACCCAGGAAGACATGAAAGATGTAACTCGCCTCCTGCCAATCAAGCGAATGGGCCTAATAGAACCCTTGCCGAGCCTCGAAGGTAAAGAGAGTTGTCAGCCAGCCAGGATGAACCTGAGACCTCACACTGCAGCCAAAACAGACCTATAATCAAAAGTAGCCGTGTCTGAGCAAATCCATAGGAGTTGTGGTGAGAGTTCGAACCTATCAGCTGGGTGTTCCCAGGCACACGCTCTAGACAACTATGCCGCAACATGATTAAAAGAACTGACCATGTCATGGCATAGGAAAAAGCTCAAAATAGAGCATGTGCCAGGGAAAACCCAGTGCATGGGTTCGAACCCTCATCATGGCTACTATGGATTTTCTTATTGATGTATCACGATAGTGTGATTACTCTCTGAGTATTGAAAGAGGAGCATCAGAGGTAGAACATTCCTTGATGACATAGCCAGAGTGCATTTGTGAAACTCTAGTTTGGCTTCAGTGGAAACCTCAGAAATCCTAGAAGGTGCAGTAGTACCCCAGGTTGCAATCCTTATGACCATGTCGTGGCCTAGTTGTCTAGAGCGTGTGCCAGGAAACAATCAGCACATAGATTCGAACCCTCAACATGTCTCCTAGGGATTTGCTCATTGATGCATCAAGATAAACACAGAGTAATCACACTTATTAGGAATTTTTTTTCTGATAAGACAACCAGTATGATTTATCTATCTAGATAGATAGTGTGATTACCCTCTGTGATTCATCAATGCAGGATGATGAAAACTTCCAGAAATATGATAACTCCAAGACACAGAACAGGATTTGGAATCAAATACGAGGAGGAAGCAGTCGAGCATTCATATTTATACACAGAAGGGGGATAAGAGAAATTCTTCACTTGAAGCGAAAGACCCTCTGCAGAGGGGATTAAACTTCATGAAAGGTTGAAGGGCACTCACGGGCCCTCCTCAGGCTTCCCCAGGCTTTTCCTCAGCCCCAGAAGCCTGCCATCAAGACTCCAGGGAAGAGCCAAAATCCTCACCTAACATATGCAACAGAAAAGCATCCTTCCAAGGAGTAGATTCTGAGCAGGGCAGTGGTTGTGAAGGCAAATGCACTAAAATCCCTGCATCAATGAGAATGAGACCACCCCCCAGAAAAGGTCAAGTTACATCCCAAGCTAAACCCTCACCTGAATAAGAAACCCCTCAAACGATTTAGAGCTGGAACAGGGGGGTGGGGGGAGATCAGAAACACGGCAACCCACACCTGCAGAGAAAGAAAGAGGCACAGACTTAGGCCATATAGTCACTAACACCTCCCACTCCATGGTCCTAAACACCATAGGGGCCAACTTTGGGGCATCCAGATGATCAATATGCTGCAAATGCCTAACACGAGCTAACCTAGCTCACAAAATGGTAGCTATCTAAAAAGCTTTCAAACTCGAAGCAGAGTCAGTAAAAGCAGAGATCCAGTGAGCACACACCTCATAGACTCAGGGTCTTAAGTATCACCAACCCAGTAGGCAGCATTGCTGAGGTAACAAGAATGATTTTGTCAGGTAACAAAGACGATGAACACCCTTCAAGCACGGGCTTAACGAGCCAATCAATAACAGATCACGCAAGGCAGCTAAGCAGAAACCCATCCCTGGTCTCTCTCAAGGGTGAACTCCCATACATACGAGAGAAGAGAATTCTATGCAAGGGCAGGGAAGAAAACTCTTAGCTTATTTAGCCCAAAAAGTAATCAAGTACAAAGACAGCACAATAAGCTGGACAGAAAACATGTACATGAAGCTAAGACTAAAATTAGGAACATAATAAGCATAGGATGAACAAAGTCTAAGGATGGTCGATACTTGGCTAGAAGAAGCGGGACTTACCCACAACTGGAAGACCAGAACACTACTGGTAGGATCATTAACCTTAACACTAGCTACAGAACTGGCTGACCAGGGGAAATCCATCAACAAGCAATGGGCTGGGCTGCCTGGTGGTAGTGATCGATACTAATGACTTTCAAGCTAGTTTGAGTGAATCCCTTGTTCTGTGTGAATAATTTGCAGTCATTTGGCTATTTCGAGGCTTCATTTTCTGCAAGTGGCTTTGCTGAATTTCTGGATAATTTCCTGGTGGGTGGCAAATTATCCCTCGCTCCTTGTGCCACTGTGAGGAGATGGGGGGGGGGGGGGAATAGGTTCTGGCTTTGGTCCCCAGTAGACCAAACAGAACTTACACAACTGATGTGACCTTTTAGTACAAAGATAGCTAGCTGTACTATCTCTGTACTAAAGTACAGTATAGCTGTAAGGTTATTTTGAGGTTATCTTGAGATGATTTCGGGGCTTTAGTGTCCCGCGGCCCGGTCCTCGACCAGGCCTCCACCCCCAGGAAGCAGCCCGTGACAGCTGACTAACTCCCAGGTACCTGTTTTACTGCTAGGTAACAGGGACATAGGATGAAAGAAACTCTGCCCATTGTTTCTCGCCGGCGCCCGGGATCGAACCCGGGACCACAGGATCACAAGTCCAGCATGCTGTTCGCTTGGCTGACCGGCTCCTGTATAGCTAAAGTACAGTATAGCTGATAGCTGTACTCAGCAAGATAGCTTCAGGCCACTTCAGGGAGCCACTGGAGTGTTTCCCCTCAGAAAGAATGTATGCTGATGAACAAGCATAAACTAAATTGGATAATGAAGTTCTTGAGCCATTTACAATTTATTGTTAAATCAGATAAAAAACTGATAAAAACTACACGTCCAGTAAATGGAGAGAAATACATATTTTATCATTTAGAAATCACGCCGATGATATCTATCAGGATCGAAGTAAGATGTAACAACCACACGATTTGCAAATTTCCTTCCAGTAAGGTTTTGCTGTGCTTTCTGGCAATCCAAGACTGAATTGAACTCCACAAAAATCTTGCCAACACCTGGAACGTCGACTTCTTCAACTGGCCGAGGAATTTCAACTGATCGCACGATACCATATCGGCTGCATTCCACACGAATATCCTCAAGGATATCCTCATATTCTTCTTCATCTTTAAGCTCATCTGGCATTACCATATTCATGAGGCACAGCACTTCAGTAGCAGGCCCTGAGCCACTTTGCAGCTGCAAACCAGGAACCTGGATCTGCACTGGAGCTTGAGACATGGCAGTAGAATTCTTGGCTCCCACACTTGCACGCTGTAGCACTAGCTTCTTGTCTCCTAACTGCATTCCATTCAGACCATGGATGGCTTGATCAGTGAGGCTGACATCTGCATACTCACAAAAGGCAAAGCCCTTGGATAGTCCAGTACCAGAATCCTTGACCAGGTTAAATGCTCGAAGCTGACCAAATGACGTAAGCAGCTCTTTAACCTGATCTTCATTCAGGTAATTAGGTAGTCCTCCAAGAAAGATTTTATGAGGAGTGTCAGGCACCACAGTTGAAACCACACCTGCAATAACTGGAATCTGTGTCGTACCTGACATAGTAGTTAGAGTTGAAGGGTCTGACATGCCTGGCATTGGTTGATAATCATGAGGTCGTCTGATTTTTAAACTCTGTCCCTTAAAATTAATACCATCAAAAGCAATACCTTGAGTTGTTTCATCAATTGATCTAAATTCTAAGAATGCAAAATTCTTATCAAGGTTAACCTGGGAAGCAATAACTGGATTTCCAGCAGCTTGGGCAAGGCCAGCAAGGTGCATCTGCTGATTGAAGAACTCCATAATTTCTTCCTCTGTTACGCCAAATGGAATGTTTCCTACATACAGACGCCGTGCTTGTCTAGTAATAGTGGAACCAACAGGCTGTTGGGGAACATTTATGACTTCTTGAACTGTCACCAGCGGTACTATTTGCCCTACACTGGGTGGTGCAATTAGAGGTACTGTCACATTAGATGGAATCTGTCCAGCAGCTTGCATTGTTTTGTATTGAACTGGTGTTATGTGTTCAAAACCTGGAGGTGGTTTGTCCCAGTATAATGAAGGTTGCTTGCGGCGTGACGTCCTTCTGGCCTCTCTGGAACGTGATCTTGATCTTGAACTAATTTTGTGTTTACGTCGTTCATGCGAACGAGACCTGCTGCGTTCCCTATTTTTATCTTTACCTTTCTTCTCATCTCTGTGTTTTGGTTGATTTCTTCCAGCACGTTCAGAACGTTTCGTTTGATTTTTTCCAGCATCTTCAGAACGTTTCATTTGATTTCTCCCAGCATCTTCAGAACGTTTTGGGTGATTTCTTCCAGCATTTTCAGAACGTTTCCCTTGATTTCTTCCATCTTCAGAATGTTTCCCCTGATTTCTTCCATCTTCAGAATGTTTCCCCTGATTTCTTCCATCTTCAGAATGTTTTCCCTGATTTCTTCCATCTTCAGAATGTTTCCCCTGATTTCTTCCATCTTCAGAATGTTTTCCCTGATTTCTTCCATCTTCAGAATGTTTCCCTTGATTTCTTCCATCTTCAGAATGTTTCACTTGATTTCTTCCATCTTCAGAATGTTTCCCTTGATTTCTTCCATCTTCAGGATGTTTCACTTGATTTCTTCCATCTTCAGAATGTTTCAGTTGATTTTTCTCAGCATCTTCAGAACGTTTCAGTTGATTTTTCTCAGCATCTTCAGAACGTTTCAGTTGATTTCTTCCATCATCGTCATCTGAGCATTTCAGTTGATTTTTTCCATTATCGTCAGAATGATTCAGTTGATTTCTTTCATCTTCATTTGAACCTTGCTCAGGCTTTTCCATCTCCTTGTCCTCTTCCATTTTGGCAGGTGTTGTCTCTAGAAATGAATTCATATTCACCTTTTATAATATATACTAAACACATTAACATCCTGCAGCAATGCTTCTACCACTTCCATAAGAACAAAAGAATTATGGAAACTACACAAGGCCTATTGGCCCAGACGTGGCAGCTCCAAGTTATATTCACCCACACACATTCATTCCAAGTTATATTCACCCACACACATTCATGTGTATGCGAACAAGCCTGAATGGTCCCCAGGACTATATGCAACTGAAATTCATGTGTATGTCTAACCTATACTTGAAACAATCAAGGGATCCCTGCATTACCCAGTAATCTGTTCCACAAATCAACAACCCTGTTTCCAAACCAGAATTTACCCTGACCTTTCATAAGTCTAAATTTATTTAATTTATATCCATTTTATATTTATATTCTATTTAGTGTTGGCATATTTAATATCTAATTAATATCCCCCTTGTTATGACCATTCATCCATTTGTACACGTCAATCATGTAACCCCAAACTCCTCGCCTGGCTAGAGAATAAAAATTAAGCTTTTTTACTCTCTCTTTCTAATTTACAGAAATGGAAGATTTCTAATTTGCAGAATTAATTTTGTCATCCTTCGCTGAAAATGTTCTAGTAAATTTATGTCCATTCTATAGTACGCTGAATTGTATAATCTAATGGGGGCCTAGCAAGAGCAAGATATAGCTGAAGAATTACACTAGATATTTGATTGCTAACACTCCTAGACACATCACAATTTCAACACAATCTAGCTGATATTATGTAACTATCATCATTACTTAAGATTCTGGGGCCAGATTCACGAAAGCACTTATGCAAACACTTACGAACCTGTACATCTTTTTCTCAATCTTTGGCGGCTTTGTTTCCAATTAATAAACACTTAATGAGCTCCGAAGCACCAGGAGGCTGTTTATAACAATAACAACAGTGGAGTGGCAAGTTTTCATGCTTGTAAACTGTTTAATAAATGTAACCAAAGCCATCAAAGATTGAGGAAAGATGTACACTTTCGTAAGTGCTTTCGTGAATCTGGCCCCAGAATCTGCAGTTTAATGCAGTCAGCATTAAACTGCATCTGCCAATCTTTTGACGATTCAAAAGCCTAACTAGATCAACCTGCAGTGATGTTAAGCCTTTTCTAAGTTCATGACTTGCAAAATTTTTGCATTGTCAGCAAATTTGCAAAATTGCTGCTCAATCCAGATTCTAAATCATTTATATATATATATGGTAAACAACAGAGGTTCCATAAGACATGGAACTCTACTTACAATGGTTCCCACTCTGACTTAACTCCATTTATACTAACTCTTTGTATTCTTTGGTATAACCATGCCCCTATCTAACTCAAGGTGAGGCTCGTGAGGTGCTTTTTTTTTTTAACCAATCTTTCATGTGGCACTGTTTCAAAAGCTTTGCTGAAGTCAAGGTACACAACATCACAATCTTTTTCATTATCAACTGCCACAAATATGCTGAAACAGAATGAAAACAAATTTGTCAAACATGAACAGCCTTGAACAATTACAAGACACGAGCTAGATGGTGTTCAGATTGCAAAGTCGGATTGTGAAAGAGATCTGGGAATTATGATTGGTAAGAATTTAAAACCAAAAAAATCAGTGCATAAACATTCGTAATAAGGCAAATAGGACACTAGGATTTATTTCTCGAAGCTTTAGTAATAAAACACGTGGTGTTGTTCTTCAGCTATATCGTGCTCTTACTAGGCCCCATTTAGATTATGCAGTTCAGTTTTGGTCTCCATACTATAGAATGGATATAAATTCACTATTACGCTTCCAGCATAGGATGACAAAGTTAATCCTGCAAATTAAAAACTTGTCATATGAAGAAAGAATGACAGAGCATGATTTACATACTCTAGAATGGCAAAGAATTAGGGATGACATGATAGAGGTGTACAAGTGAATGAATGGGCATAACAAAGGGGATATTAATATATTAAAATTATCAACACAAAATAGAACATGAAACAATGGGGATAAATTGAATAAGTTTAAATTGAGGAAAGACCTGGGTAAATACTAGTTCAGTAACAGGGTTGCTGATTTGTGGACCCAATTACCGCTAACATAATAGAAGTAGGATCCCTTGATTGTTTCAAGCATAGGTTTGACATATATATATGAATGAGACTGGGAGGATATAAAGAAGCTGCCTTGTATGAGACAAAAGGCCATCTGCAGTTGCCTTAATTCTTATGTTCTTATCAAATATATGGAATACAGTATCAGAATGCTCAAATTCATCACATCACTAAGATACAGTATGTCTATAATATTTGTTTAGAACAATAATACAACATTCAATATTTGGTGTTATTATATAATATACACACTTTATACATAAGTATGTGCATTTTTATGCATCATTATGAACCACTAAGCCATTCTGATCAGAGTGGTAATTTTATAACATGTAGTCAGGAGTTCAGCCTAGCTCTGCATCAAACTGTAACTGCAAACATTGAATATATAATAGTGTCTCCATATTTCCAATATTATACCATGGGTTTCCAAGTGCAATGATAAAATGGGTTGTCAATTATGTTATTGTGATATATTCATGTCAATAAGGTTCATAATATATTATTTGCTAAATAAAACATTCTGCTTGATACCTGCTTGATGGGGTTCTGCGAGTTCTTCTACTCCCCAAGCCGGCCCAAGGTCAGGCTTGACTTGTGAGAGTCATTTTATTTTTGATGTTGTTATACTGTATACTGTACACAATTTATATAAAACTACTGTATGTACACTTTCATGCACCATAACGAACAACTAAGCCATTGTGGTGGGTGTGATAAGGAAACCCAAGGTCAGAAGAAGAAACCATTGACACTACCGACAGACTGTGCCAGCAGACAATGCATAATGCATCATGATGTACGACACACATCGGTAATTCTTGGCAAAATGTTGTGCTTATCATTCTAACAATAGTGTGTAAATTGATAAATTTATACAATAAAATGTGTGAAACATCACTACTGGTATACTTTAAAAAAAAACAGCGTTGAATGTAATGAAACACCATTTTCTGGGCGAGTTTTGGAGGCTCCCCGGAGCTATCCAGGTTGATAAGTAACTATTAGCTTTCTGGCATCAAAGTGCATGGCGTTCTTGCCTAAAGGGGACCATGAGCCAGAACCTGGCTACCTCAGAGAGGCATGAGGAGCAATGACCTATAGAAACCCCAGTGTGTTTGGGAGCATTCTATGTCTACCATCGACCTGGTCTGGCACCCAGAAAGATAAGCGCCCCAAAAGATAGGGAGGGGCTGGTTTTCTGGGGGAAGCCCACACGGAGCTAACTACCCAAAGACAAGAAAAAATACAGGGATTTACCCGGGAGGTGGTAAGTGGTAAGTCCTCACTCCTCAACGCAAAGTCGAGACAACTGACTGCAACCGCCGACCGAATGCAATGCAGGCCCTACCAGGTCCAGGGACATTGACAAGATAGCGAGCGGCCAGGACCCTGTTCGACCTCCAAAAATCACATGCCCAAATGTCAACCAAAGACATGTTGCCAAACACGGCAGCCAAAGCAGCAAACTTACATCGAACCTCGTGGGCACGAGGATAGACCGCAGGCTGTCTAGCTTTAATTATCCTGCGGACAACCTGGGAGACCCGAACCCGGGAACAGGGAAGAAGGGAAACCAGGTCAACCCAAAGCGCATCCCCGGCCACCGAAGCTGTGGCGTGCAAATAATGGCGTAGAGCCGCAACCAGACACAACACATGATGAACCCCCAGCCTGACCAACCAAGCATAAACAACCCAAGGACCCTTCTGGAAAGCAACAGTCTCATTCTTCGCCGGAAAAGAAGGAAACGGCTGCAACTGAACAAACTTACCACCAGGACCGAAGGAGCAGAAACCCCCTGCGTCGGAGGAGAGCATGAAGCTTGCTGACCTGACCCCCAGGGGACAAAGCCAACAGGAAGAGCCTTGGAAAAACAATCCTGAACTGAAGGGAGCCACTACAAACTGAGGAGAAGAGAGGAAAGAGAGCACCCGGTCCAAAGACCAGAACGGCTCTGGAGACATATGAGCAGGCTGGAGGTGAAACAATGCCCAAGACAACTTGCGGAACGGGGCTGAAGTAACATCAATACCGAATGCAAGCTGGAGTGGCTCTGCCAGTGCCGCACGATACGAGGCGACAGTATTCGGCATAAGATGACTGTCCTGGAACAACCATGAAAGGAAGGACAAGACAACCCTATTAGAAACTGAAGTACACCTACACAGTGATGGGAAAACTGGAAGGACCGCCAGGAAACTTCCTACTGCTTCCAAGACGAAGCATGCAGGAGGAAGACCAACAGCAAAGCCACCTGTGCCCCATATGAGTGATGATAGACTCGAGTCAGAAACTCCAGACAAGAAGACTCGAGGAGAGGAACAAACCAACCTCGTACCGAGCTGGACTGATTTGCTGAAAGAGGCGGAGCTGCGGGAAGACCCTCGGGTTCAGACACTGAGCAAGCAGTATTAGAAACCAAGGCTAGGCCGGCCACCAAGTAGCCAAAAGGACTACCTAGTAAGTCTCCAAGCGAGCCAGGCCTTGAGCAACAGCTGAACCGGGGGAAAGAGGTACAGGTAATCCCCGCCTCGTCCAGTCCTGCCTGAAGGCATCAACCCTGACTGCCTTGCAGTTGGGGAAGGGCACTATGTATACCAGGAGCCACCTCGACCACGCCGACACGAAGAGATCCACTTCCGGAGGCCCAAATGTCTGACAGCCAACTGAACGAGTTGGCGTCGACCGTCCATTCCGGGGACAGGGGAATGAACTGGGACAGGCTGTCCGCCAGGACATTGGACAACCCCCGAACGTGAACTGCCAGGAGAGCCAAACCTCGAGAACTCAGCAGACGAGTCACCCCGAAGCGACCAGCTCCAAAGAGCCAAGGACCGCATGGAACTTCCCCTCGGTTCATGCAATGAACTACCGGGAAACAGTCCAAATGGAGCCGGATCGTCGATCCACGAGTGACCCGAATCCTCCAGAGCGACATTTACACAGCCGCTAACTCCCGCATCGTGCTGATACCCGACGGAAGGATGGACCCCACCGTCCCTGGCCGGCCTGGTGAGCACTGGTCACAATGCCTCAGCCAAGAGACGATGCGTCCGTGAACACATCGAGCGAGGGCTCGGATAGGTGCCATGGCATTGAACCCCGAAGAGGAAGCCATTGATGCAGCCGCCGATGAAAAGGGCCCCGGAGGCTGTACCCAGCTATCGCAAGAACAGCAGAAGGGCTATCTTGAGGTTATCTTGAGATGATTTCGGGGCTTTTTAGTGTCCCCGCGGCCCGGTCCTCGACCAGGCCTCCACCCCCAGGAAGCAGCCCGTGACAGTTGACTAACACCCAGGTACTTATTTTACTGCTAGGTAACAGGGGCATAGGGGTGAAAGAAACTCTGCCCATTGTTTCTCACCGGCGCCCGGGATCGAACCCGGGACCACAGGATCACAAGCCCAGTGTGCTGTCCGCTTGGCCGACCGGCTCCCAGTTATGCAGTATCTGCTGCCTGCAGATACTGCAGACTCTGCAAAAAGCAATGGACAAAAAGGCGACAAAAATCTAAGAGTCAGGGGCCCACACAGATTCCAAGGAGTGAGTGAGCACAGCCTGTCAGCACGCGAGGTGAGAAGCAAAAAACAGAGACACCGACTCCTTGAGAATCGGTGCAAACAACTTCAACAAGGCAGCCGATGCCTAAGCCACCGAGGCAAGCGCACCAGACGCAGGGCCGGCACCCAGCACCTCCACATCCTTTGCAAGCTGGTCCGAAAACAGCTCAAGAAGGGAGAAGAAATGCAAGACCTAAGCCAAATGCCCACAGGTGTACAAATCCTCAGCTAACAGAGTGAATAAGCATGCATTGAGGCCTCCAACTTGGCCCCCAGGTAAACTTGAACAACCATAGATGTTTCCCACCATTCAAGCGTGCGGGTCTGGCAGAATGCATGCCACACCCCCCAACAAAAAAAAGGACAGGCTGCCAACCAGGAAGACTCCGGCACCTCGTAACGTACCCAATAAGGAAAGGTTGCACCGAACTCAAACGAAGAAGGGTTCATTATTGAGGCGAAATCCAGGTCATACAGGAGGAATGCTGCAATGGCCTTAAAGAAACAATTAAAGCTGAACCCCTGTGATGTGTACAATCACAGGGGACCTAGCGGGGAATCACCAGAATAACAGAGGGTGGACTATGACCCAGGGGCAGATGCCCCCTCCATCCAGGCAAGAGAACGAAAAGAAAACTCCTGACAAAAGCACAATGTCACCAGGAGGAACAGAACAGGCTGTGTTGTATAATGGTAGACAAGCTGCAAAGTACCGTGCTCCCCTACCAGCGACAATACTACCTCCTACCCAAGGTCAAACAGCGGCTATGAAAACCCCCAGCTGACTCCAAGGGCGGGCAATCACCGAGCAGCTAAAGATCCCTACGGAGGTAGTCCCCTGAACAGCTTGTGGAAGATAACCCCAAGTTGCAAAGGCAGTACACAGTGTACTTACTGGGCACTTAGGTAAGAAGGCCCTCGGTGCATGCAGCCCTAGTACTTCGTGAATTACTCCTGGCTCGCACACAGCAGAACGACCACCACATAACACATCAGCCTCAGAACTGGGGTTGGATAGCCGGAGCGAGGGTCTGGGGCTCCCCCTTCCCCTTCTCGAGGAGGGTAGAGCTGCACAAACAGCGGCTTAATGGTGGTTATGACGTTATGCTTGTTTGCATGTTTTCAGATGGGAGTTCTGCTTGACAGTTTGGCTTTCGGTAGCAATTTTTTAACCCGGTGAAGTTTGTTTTGGGACACCTATCTTTCTGAGTGCCTAACCCGGTCGATGGCAGATATGGAATGTTTCCAACCACATGGGGGTTTCCATAGGCCATTGCTCCTCATGCCTCTCTGAAGGGGGGGGGGAGGTTCTTTCTCGTGGTCCCCGGTAGGCTAGAACTCCATCGAAATGACTGATGCCATGGTCTAATGCATACATATCAGCCTGGTAAGTTCTGGGGAGCCGGAGGGGCTCTCCACAGAAAATCACATTTAAATAATTGGGTAATGATATCTTTGCGGCAACTCACGCCTGACGGCTCAGCTGAAGGAGACCGACCCCGGACGTGTACTCTTTCAGCGCCTGGATCTTGCTAGACTTCCTCGTCCTATCACAGCCAAAATATGTCACCTACAATTTTTGTTTCCTGTGATCAGAGAGCACATTTTAACAATCTTAGAAGGATTTTTTCTTAGGATTTTTCAATCTTAGAAGGATTGTCATTCAGGGGGTTAAGGGCTAATGGTTGTCTTCATTTTTACCATACCTAAGGATCTGGAATTTATCACTGTTAAATGCCATCATATTTTCTGCTGCTGAACTGAAAACTATATTAATATCATCTTGTAGTTTTCAATGTCTTCTACAGAAATCATTTTCATTTTTATTTTTGTGTCAGCTGCAAAAGATACAGCTCCAAAAGATGACACAAAACTGTAAATTGTATTTTTGTCTATATTTGATATGAGAATAAGGAAACACAATGGTGCAAGGACTGTGATCAGAGGCAGAGAGCTTTTCACTGTTTAGACTCTATTATATTTGACCGACTGTTACTCTTTGCATTCTGTTTGACAGAAAATTGAATATCCATCGCCCTACTTTGTGTGTTATTCATATTGACCTCATTTTGTGGGCTATCACTTCATGGTCACATTTATCAAATGCCTTTGCAAAGTCCATGTATACCACATTTGCATTCTTCCCCAGAAAATTCTCAATCCCTTTTAATTTGTTCAATGGAAATCTGGTATCCTTACAGACTTTTCTCTCACAACTAAGTTAAATATTAGTTCTTTATGATCATTGTTCCTTAACATTCTCCTAGTTTTTTGTCATTTACTAGTGTATGCCCTTTGGCCAGAACCAAGTCTGATACAGCACATGCAAGGAGATAAAATTGTCAGGTTTCTGCACAAGGAAAGGAAGGCAGGTTTATGCAGTAGGAAGCTTACACACACGCCTCCAACTTTCCAGCAAAAGTTGCTCTTACAAGTACTCACACCAACACTAAACTTTGGCAGAACTTCACATGCGATAGAAACCCCCTCCCATTTTCCTAATTATATCTAATGCTGGTTTGAATCTACAGTATTTATAAGTTACTCATTTCTTCTCTTTCCAACATCATTTTCTCCAACAGAAAGGCAGACAATAGGCTTGTTGCCACTGTTTGACAAGATGTTGCCCATCCTGTCCATTGTCTCCTATATCAGCTTAATAAGACATATGTCCCATTGTGAGCATCCCTTGAATAAAAGGCACAGTCTATACACCTTACCTGCAAATACCAAACAACCAAGATCTTCTTACTTTTTCTGTTTAGAAGTCTCACGTCTGTACTTGCTGAACCCCTGTTTACATTCTCCTCCTGCAGAAGGGAGAGCTGGATGGGTGTGTCTACCGTAGATTTCTTTATGGTTCTCCTACTGGGAAGATTTCTAGTTTTCCCTACCACTTTCCAGCAGTCCTATATTGTAGCACTGTTTGACTTCCCTTCCTACTGATGTTCACTGCACTCCTTGAGACGACATACTTCATCCTTCAGTATGTCAGTTTCCACCCTGAGTGTCTGGCATGGCTCGAACAGAACCTGGGAAGAAGTCATGAAGTGGGCTATCACTGAGACAGTCTATTAATCCTACAACAAGAAAACACTTTGGCTTTTTTATTAATTAGGGTTGATATCTTAGAAAGGTTTCTTGACTTAGTTTTAAGGGAGATTATACTTTATTATTAATATCTGAGGAATTTGTTGTGATAAATAAAGAGACTTGAGGTAGCTGTCAAAATAATTGTCATTTACATTGATGTGGATGCTGGGATCTCATTTGCAAGGGATTTACCAACTGATCAGAGCAAACTATTGCACTTAATAACAATGCCACTGGCTGATACCATTTCACCATCACCAGTTAGACATTGTTTTTTTCCCGGGAGGCAACCTGGTTGCCTGGTTTTTTCCCGGGAGGCAACCCTTAAGATGGTTCACTGGCATGGCTCCCTGCTACTGGGTCACATCAGTCACATGAATCCATTTGACCTACTGGGGACCAGTCAAAACCTGGACCCCTCACAGAGGTGCAGAGAGCACACACATAATTATTGTCAACCCACAGGGAAAACAACCAGAAAGTCAGTGATGCTTTACAGAGAACTGCAAGGTTCATAGCAAATGAAGCAATGAGACTGCCAAATGACTTGGCAATCTATTTAGGAGTAACAGTTGTGATGGTGCCCTCTCTCCTGTTTTTCCCATATGCCGGATTTATGAGTCATATTAGCTTACCTGCAGGTTCTCTGAGATGCAGGGAATCTTTTGAGGCATGAGGCTACCGAAATGGTTGCTTATTTGGGGAGAAATTTGCATTTTAAGTTTGCAGGTGAAAGGGGGAAGTTGTGCCCTAGGTACAACAAAATGGCGCCCCCTGTCTGCAAATCCACCATTTTGTGTGCGGCGCCCGCCGACCGGCGATTGGCTGGCTGAGGTCACATGACTTTATTGACCAATCAGAGTCCACCCCTGGGTCTGTGATGTCACCGGGAGACCTGGCCTGTCGCCTGCAGAGCGCTAGGCGCTCAGAGATACGTGGCGCTTCGTTGAGTGTGGACGTGCGCTGGTTGAGCTCTTGAGTTCCGAGGTCTAGGAGCCTCGTTCAGTGGATTTATACAGCCTAACGAGTTTATAGTGACTACCAAAGACTGCAGTGCTTCAGGGAAGTGTGAGGAGTGTAAGAGTTCCAGCAGTGTTAGGGCGCCGAGGACTGTGAGCTGATAGTCTGGGAGGAGTCGAGAGAGTTACGACGGCTGGAGTAGCGAGTGACTCGCTGTCAGTGGAACTCTGAGGTGCTCAGAGCTGTTGTGATTGAATTACGCCCACTGGGAACTCAGGAGGGAGAAGACGCATCCTGATCCATGAGTGAGTGGTCTTGGTGAAGGAGTGCTTGAGGGAAACAACGTTTGCAGTGACGACTGGTGCTGTCAGTGCCCAGGAACTTTGCTAAGGGAACGAGTACGGCGATGACGAGAGTCTTCACGACACCTATGGACTGGTGCTCACCTGGAACGTCAAGAAACGACGTGAGGGACCGAGGACCCACCGACCACCGGAGTCCAGGCGTCTGAGGGGAGGATTGGATAAGGTAGATAATTTTTCCCTTCCATATTTCCCTTGATGTTAGGCAAGATAGGTCTATTGTTATATCCAGGTATTTACTAGAGTGTTTATAGGAGTCATAGGAGTAGATTAGGCTGTGGGACAGCAAGTATATGTTAGCTACTGCCCGGTGAAGACAGCGCGAGGCGTGAGTGGCTGGCCTGTGGAGGAGTGAGGATCCACGCTGACGGAGCCGCCCCCCTTCCAGTGAGGGACCAGTGGTCCATTTAAACTCGATCAGCTGATGCGAGTTGCCGGCGGCCACCAGAGAAGCGCTGCTGTCACCATTATTATTTCTTAAGAATATATATATAGATATCTCATGTGTCTGTAGTTGGCTTTTGAGTAAACTTTATTATTTTATCATTGCTTTTGGTGTCACCTCCATCTCTTTGAGCATTGTGGGTAAATGATATACTGTATGATTATACCACTGGTACTGGCGTTACATTGAAGGAGACCCTGGGTTGGCAACACGAGATTATATTTGAATTCTAGTACTGGCATTATATAGAAAGAAGTCCTGGGCTGTAGATACGATACCATATTCAAACCAACAGCGTTGCTGGGACGCAGAGAGAATTACCCAGCTGGCGACCAGAAAGGAAGAGGTGGAATTGAGGTTACTGCTGGGAGTCTGGCAAAACTTTGCCACGCACAGGTGGGCAGGCTCGGTAGGGAGTCACATACTGCAGGATTGAGCTTAGCAATGTGGGCTGGGCCTTCTCCTCTCCCCCTTGGGTCCAAGGTCAAATAGTGGTGACCAATCTTGAAACATGACTAGGAGAGCTCCCTGGGGGAGGATGCATGATGCCCTAGTGGAGGGAGCAAAGATCCACGGCGTGAGGATCAGGCGTGAAGATCCACGGCACAGGATCAGTAGCATGATCCCCCATTGTTTAACTGTAACCTCACATAACACAAGGCCAAGGTGAGTGGCGCGTGACAGTGAACTACTCAAACTAGCGTAAACCTATTAGTACCTTTAGCCATCACTGGGCAGCTTGGAGCCCCAGCTCATAGCTGACTCAAAAGCTGCATTTCTGCTGATGTTGAGGTGTATATAGTGGTGCTTGTTGAGTTCTCGTTTGAACACTGCAGCACGTTGGCCAATTATGCCCCAAATGTATAGGGAAAGTGTGATGAAAAGCCGTTGACTGTTGTTGATCGAGTTCTCTCTCAACATGCCTATTGCACCTGTTTTTCAGTGGGGCTATTTTGCATATCCTGCCATGCGTTGTCTCATGTGGTGGTATTTCTGTGTGCAGATTTGGAACCAATCTTTCTAATATTTTACAACTGTAAATATTACGCATCTCTCCCACCTGCACTCTTGGGTATACAGAATTAAATTTTTTAGGCAGTTCCAATAATTTAGATGCTTTATTAAGAAATAGATCTTAGAACACTCTCTAGGTCAGCAATTTCTCTAGCTTTTGTGGAGGAAACAGCCCCAATTTAATGGGCTGTTAGGGCTATTTGTGTGCAACAATATTCCACTCTAGCGAGCACTAATGTCTTAACAGAATCATCGTTGGCATGGCATCTCCTGTTTGGAAGGTCATGTTATCCAGCCTGTCCTTTTTCTTGCAGTTGTGACAGCAACCGCTTGTTGTGTCCTTTAAAAGGCCTTCAGACATGATTTTTGTTCACAGGTACTCCTAAATCTTTTACACTGCTTTTTCCTCTTAATAGTGTGGGTTGACAGTGATTTATATGTGGTTTCTGTTTTGATATTTTGTGTGGGGAGCCCCATTGGCTCCCTGAAGCTATCATCACTGATTAAGTGCCATACTTCTTGGAGTCATCATTCACAGAGTTCTTTTATGCCTGCCGGGGACCACAAGCCAGAACCTGGCCCAGTCTTCTTTTCAGCAGTAGTACAAGGTGTCTATGTGGGTTTTCCACCATTTTCTTTCTCTCCATCGTGTTTCTTCTGTGTCCGACAAGGTTGCTTTTTCTTTTTTTCTTGGCTTTGTCTGGATCAGCGTTTTTCACCTCCGGCTTGTTCATGCACCGCCTGAGCCTGTTTGGTCTTTGGGCTATGTTCTTTCTTTTCTTTCTTCCCCCTTTGGTTCAAGATTGTTTTTGGAAAGCTTTGTTTTGTCAACTTTGGCTTCCGGTGGTCGGGTTGGGAAGCTAAATGCTCTTCTCTGGCACTAAGAGTTCTGTTCTTTTGGTCCTGATGGTCGTTTTGTTTACTTGCAGCTGACTCCTTTTCTGGCAGAGAATGAGACGGCGGGCTTCCAGGGGGGGTCCTTTGGTGGGGGATGCTTGGTTGGTTCGACCAGGGGTGTATCATGTGTTATGTCCAGTAGCAACTTTGTGCCTCTACTTGCGGGCCACCAGTTCTGTGTTGGTGGACACATTGTGGGTTAATCCAGTTTCCCTGGCTCCCTATTCCAGGGCTCGTGTGTTTCGGTTTGTCTGCAGTGTCATTAAGTCTAGCCAGCCTATGGTCTACCCTCGAGCCAATGATGTATGGAACTCTGCCAGGGAATGTATGCCACTCCGTTGACTGTGTTTGGGAACATGTGTTGGGACGATATTCGGGCACAGGGGTTTTGGAGGTCTAACTGGGTCCTGGTTGCCAGGTATCTGGTTAACATCCCTGACCCTCTGCGGCCTTTGTTGCCTTAGGGTGTCTGTCGTAACCAATGATCTCTTTTTCGCATTGACGTCTGGTGCTGCCACCTCCCAGGTAAGTCCCTGTTTTTTCTTCTCTATGGTTGTTAGCTTCAGTGAGCCAATGGGGATCCCCACAGAAAACTAGTGTTGAATGTAATGAAATGCCAGTTTCTAGATTAGCCCTGGAGGCTCCCTGACACCCTCCCTTTCCTCCGGTCAGCAGCTTTTATCATTCAAGGATTGGCTCCTCAACAATGAGATGGGGGCTAGTTGGATGAAGTTTGGTTAATTGTTTCTTGGTGGGGAAAGTTCTTTTGATATTTAAGAGGGTGTAGGTCACATTTTCAACCAGGCAGTAGTCTGTTTTGATTCACCGGCGTAGGTCTCATTTTCATCCAGGCAGTAGTCTGTTTTCATTCACTGGCGCAGGTCGCATATTCAACCAGGCAGTAGTCTGTTTTGATTCACCGGCGTAGGTCGCATATTCAACCAGGCAGTAGTCTGATTTCATTCACTGACGCAGGTCGCATTTTCAACCAAGGCAGTAGTCTGTTTTGATTCACCGGCGTAGGTCGCATTTTCATCCAGGCAGTAGTCTGTTTTGATTCACCGGCGTAGGTCACATATTCAACCAGGCAGTAGTCTGGTTGATACCTGGTTGATGGGGTTCTGGGAGTTCTTCTACTTCCCAAGCTTGGCCCGAGGTCAGGCTTGACTTGTGAGAGTTGGTCCACCAGGCTGTTGCTTGGAGCGGCCCGCAGGCCCACATACCCACCACAGCCCGGTTGGTCCGGCACTCCTTGGAGGAA